TAGGACCCTGGAGCCTCTCACGCCTCCCAAACACACCACCCCTAACCCGGCCCAGCGCGCCGCGCGAAACCGGGTATTGTATCCCAGGGCAAGTACCCGGATGCTCACCTCCCCTCCCGCCCGGGCCCACGCCGGAGCCCCGCCCCCTGCGTGGCTCTGCGTGCCACGTCACCGCTTGCGGCGCTTCCGGAGGCGCAGCGGGCGATGACGTAGGGGGACGTGCCCTCTATATGAGGTTGGGGAGCGGCTGAGTCGGCCTTTTCCGCCCGCTCCCCCCTCCCCCCGAGCGCCGCTCCGGCTGCACCAGGCTCGCTCCGAGCTCCGGGCTCCTGCTAAGCTAGCGCCGCCGTCGTCTCCCTCGAGCCGCCATCATGATTATCTACCGGGACCTCATCACCCGTGAGTCGCGATTGCACTAGCCCTACTGCCCCGCGCAGAGGACGGGGGTGCTGGGGTGGGGGGAGCGGGGAGACAGGCTGCCGGGGTCGTGGGCCCTCGGGACCCCGGCGGCCTTGCGGGGAGCGAGGAGGGGTCGGGGACAGGGGCACGCGCCGGAGTCTCGAGCCCCTTGGGGAGGGGCTGGGGTCGCATGCGGCCACCCGGCGCGGGAAATGGCGCCGGCCTCGGGCCTCCGGGCGCTCGGTGACGGGCGGGTCTGTGTCCCCGAGCAGATGATGAGATGTTCTCCGACATCTACAAAATCCGGGAGATCGCGGACGGGCTGTGCCTGGAGGTGGAGGGGAAGGTGAGTCGAGCGGACCGCCGCGCGGGGGAGGCGAGACCCGGCAAGCTCGAGTTTCCGCCGCTCCCCCGCCGGAGGTTGTGCAATCTTCTCCGCTGCCTCCTGGCGGAGGAGACGCTCTTTCCGGGCTTGGGTTTTTCTAGAAAAGTGGAGGCGGAGCTGAGCCTGGAAATAGGTCCGTCGCGTCGGCCCATCCTCCTCTGGGACGGGCTGTCGCGGGCTTCGGTGCCTCAAGCCCTATCAACGTCCCTGTCAACCCGTAACAACCTAAGTTACCGCAAAACTTGCCCCTCTAGTTAATGACCCCCACCCCCTTTTCGTTTGTCAACAAAGAATGGTAAAGAGAATGTTAGGGGGGCCATATGTTTTAAAAAAGAATCAAGAATGTTTGATGGGAGGGTGATAGATGGTTTGGAAGATTTTTTGGATGCCTGTATGGTGAGGTCAACGACATCTTTTGCAACTAAACTATTTATTCTTAATGCAGATGGTCAGTAGGACAGAGGGTAACATTGATGACTCGCTCATTGGTGGAAATGCCTCCGCTGACGGCCCCGAGGGCGAAGGTACCGAAAGCACAGTAATCACTGGTGTTGATATTGTCATGAACCATCACTTGCAGGAAACCAGCTTCACAAAAGAAGCCTACAAGAAGTACATCAAAGATTATATGAAATCGTAAGTGACACTGGCATACCCAGGCCATGCCTAGAATCCTGTATGTAGGCTTTTGTGTTAACTTTGAGGTTCTTGAGCCATACTTAAGAAAAAGCTCTATATGTTCATTCTGCTCACTAGGGTGGTGTGGTGGTTTTCCTGTAAATTGATGTGAAAAATTGGAGCATGCAACCTGGTTTTAACTTTAGTATGTTGGAAATAAGTTAATATGAAATTCAGAAGTGTCAGTAGTCATGAGATAGCCATCCCATGAACTTGTTGTTTTGCCCAGTGGCAGCTTTTTTGTAAGGTTTTCTTATTCTGCTTAAATGACACAATTTTGTTCTGAATTCAATGCTTTAACCTATATTAAAATATGTTTTAGAATTAAAGGCAAACTTGAAGAACAGAGGCCAGAAAGAGTAAAACCTTTTATGACAGGAGCTGCAGAACAAATCAAGCACATCCTCGCTAATTTTAAAAACTACCAGGTAAATACCTTCGATATTTGGATCAAAAGGATAGTACAACTTTTAGTATATGTGCTGCCGAAGCGAGCACAAGGATAGTACAACTTTTAAATGCTAGAGCAAAAAAAGTTAATGAATGTTTGTAGTTGTGTTTTTCCTGGACGTTTGAGAAGTTTAAATATTTTATACATTCAGCTCCACTAGTTCAGGCTGTAGAAAATAACAAGCTTTTCTCTATTTCCGAGTATGTTTCCAGATCTCATCTAGGATTCCAGAATCTCATCCTTAATGGCTTGTTAATTTAAATGACTGGTCTTCTCACCTTCTTTCTCATTATACTTGTTGCTCTCAAGGGTAGAACAGAGCTGTTCTATTTTTGAAGAAATTCAATGTGTCTCCCACTCATTACCTCTAAATTAAAAAAAAAAACAAAACCAAAAATGCTGTCATCACCTAGAGCTCTTAGTTTTCCAGTTTTTACACATTATCTTCTCCATAGGATGGGCTTTTATCAGCAGCCTCATATCTACTTTGTTTGACTGTAAAGAGGCATGTACTCTTTGGAATCTATAAGGTTCAGAGAATAAGTTTCAAAACTTAAAATGCTGGAGTTGCTCTGTATTGTTGTTTTTGATGACAATGGTTGTGAACTGATGTTTGAGCATTTCTCTCTTAGCAGAATTTTTAATTGCTGAATTTCTGATTCAGTAGTGGTTTGAATCATTCTTACACATTTATTATGTGGTTTAGTAGTTTTGATATGATATTTATACATAATTAATATTCTAATTCTGGGTATTGTTTGCTTCCTAAGTTCTTTATTGGTGAAAACATGAATCCAGATGGTATGGTTGCTCTGCTGGACTACCGTGAGGATGGTGTGACACCATATATGATTTTCTTTAAGGATGGTTTAGAAATGGAAAAATGCGTAAGTATAAGGAAGTGGGGTAGTATATAGATACCTTAGTTGTAATTCTTGTTTTGTCCCACTGGTGTGGTTTGAGTGAATATTGCATCAGTCTTTTTCCTCCCCTTTTATAGTATTCCTTTGTAAAATGTTGGCCCAGGTCTTGTTTTTCCTTGGGGATGTCTAAAGAAGGTTGAATTTCACAATGTAAAAGATTTTAATGGCACAGGAAGAGTTAGAATCATTGACAGAAAACTAGTTATAAGTGGCATTTTTTTTTTTGAAGATTTATTTATTTATACAAGAACCGGGGTACAGGCCAGATTCGCGGGAGTGAGGATTCACCAGAGACAGAACAGGGAACAGAACAGGCAGACTGGCGAAATGCACTGCTGAGGGGAGAAGCGGGCGTGACGGGAGAGGTCTGCCGCACCATGTAGGACCCTCGCCGGCCGCCCGGGTTCAAACTGGTGCTGCAGAGGCTGCAGACAGCTTCACAGCACTGCGCTCAACCGCCTGCCCCACCAGGGGAGGCCCTATAAGTGGCATTTTATAAAGGATGTCTTCAGTGCTGATAGCATGATCAAATAATATCCTATATTGACCTTACCCCATAGTTGGCCTCTTAAAATCAACAGCCCTTTCACATTTTGCCACACATACTTTTTGGATGAGCATCGTAATCTTAATGTTACTGGCTTTTAGTAAATAGTTTAGAGTTAACTGGTAAATTGATGCACAAATTTCATCAGTGAAACTGAATTCTAGGCAAAGAACTGCTGGAGGCAATACAGAAGTAAAGGCTGAACTTTACTTACTAGCTTGTTATCCTAGCTTTCAGAAGTCTCCATATAAATTAGGAACAATGTAAACACTGAGATAGTGAGCAGAAGCACCTCAGGATCATGCAGATCAGCTGCCAGAAGAATTACTCAGTATCTGAAGATTTTGTTGAACAAAGTGTGAGTGGGACTTTATACAGAATGAACCTTTTTCTGGAAAATGGGCTGGCTCTGATTTGGTTTAAGGGTGTTTCTGCATCCACTGATAGACCATGAACAATTTGCTGTTGTTCTTTTGGTTTGCACTAGGATGCAAAAGAAAAAAATCCCTGCGCTTTCTGTCTGTCTTTGTGGCGGCCCAGATTGAATGAGGGAATACACGTGTAGCTTAGAAATGTTAAGTATTTGCCTATTTGAAAAGTGTTAATACAATCTTCCTTGTTTTTACAGTAACAAATTTGGCAATTACTTGGAACTATCACCTGTCATCATAACTGGCTGCTGCTTTTCATTGACACAACACCAGGACAGACAAATGGGACTGATGTCATCTTGAGCTCTTCATTTATTTTGACCTTGATTTATTTGGAGTGGAGGCATTGTTTTTAAGAAAAACATGTCTTGTAGGTTGTCTAAAAATAAAATGCATTTAAACTCATTTGAGAGAAGGCCTCTTAGTTTCCTACTAGTTAAATCCATTTGGTACTAAGTGTTCCTGGAGAAGCTAGAGCCTGGTTGTAGACCACTACTAGAAAGCAATAAGACTGTCTTCAGATAACTTCTACAGACTACTGGGACTGGAATATAAAAAACAAGGATCTAAAGTCTTAATTCTGAGTTGAAGTAAAGGGAAAGACTATGCTCATAACAGTGCCAACATTTGAAGTGGATTTCTTAAACATTTCATCACCTACAAATGGAAGTAGTTAACTCTGGAAGAGATTACCTAAAGAATAAAAAGACACTAAAGCAGTTGGAAGCAAAGTATTGTCTGAGCTTATTTATCATAAATCAAGTAGAACTAAGTTCTAGAGAAATCTGGACATATGGAATGCTTATGCTAAAACTCTCTGGAAAGAGTTAACAAACTGGCCTGTTCTGCCACCTGATTTTGTATAACTTTAAGGTGGTGTTTACATATTACATGGTTGGGGAAATCAAGTTTATGGGATAATGAAAAATGTGAAATTTAAATTTGTGTCCAGTTTTATTGAACACTGCTATGCTAACTTACTGATTGACTAGCTCTGACACTGCAAAAGCAGAGATGTGAAAGACGTAAGGGCCTGCACCTCCTAAAATAATTGGTCCTTTGCAGGAAAGATGCTGGCTGACCTGCACTAGAAGATGAAATTAGATGAATGGGGGTAGTTGATGGCAGGAAAAAGTTACTGTTGTGTTACTATATCTGAGAAGGCTTTGTGTATCAGAATGAGAAAATGCATCTATTTGACAGACCTGGAGCAGTTACTGTCTGCTGCCAAGGTTCCCATTTTGAGATGCAAGAAAAAAGTGTCCTCGCGCTTTCTGTCTGTCTCATTTTGGCAGCCAAGATTGAATGGGGGAGTACAAGCAAAAAACAAGGAATTTTTGCAAATCAACCATGTAACACGTTAACCTGTTTTGCTCCAAAGAATCCAGTATTTGAGTTTACAACAGGTGTTAGAAAACTATATCCCCATGCCCTTGCCTTCTGTTTGATTGCATTTTAAGTTAAAACTAAGCAAGGCAGGGCTGCGTTCCATCAAGTTCTGTGACGTGACTTCAGTGACTTGGCAATCTGCAGTGTCATAGTGCTTCAGTCAATGTAGTGCAGAACCAGGCTAATCAGGTTGGTAGTGCCCCCTGGTGACTGGAAGAAGTAAACCCAAATACTGGGAACAGTCATGCTGACAGCAATTTTGAGTTTATGATTTGACATTAAGGTACAGAAAAAGTGCTAGTGATCTAGGAGGACACTTGTTTTTTGTGAGAAACACCAGCTGAAATAATAGGGAGAGTTTCTAGACATTGGACAATGAGGTGAAAGATGACCGGATTGTGGAAGAGACCTTAAGAGGTAACATTTAAGCTGAAATGTGGTTTACTGAGCCAGCCATGAGAAATCCTGTGAGAAAAGGAATGGCAACGCAAAAGCTTTTTGGTAGGAAGTGAAAAGTCCTGAAAACGATGCTAATTTTGGACTATTCAGGTTATTCCCAGTTAAGATTCAGGTTAAGACATTGTGGTGAATAGCACACATCAGGAGGCCTATGCAATTTTGGCCTCAGGTTTGGTACAGGCATGTGTCTGCGCTAGTCCCTAGATTTTGTTACATGTATTAGGAACAAATGAACGACCTGTAGTGCTACCTAGGAAGACTGCAGTGGGTTTGAATAGGAACCTGAAGGCAAGGTATGCTGTGTGCACTGTCAGGCAGAGCCTTCCAGGGAAAGTGCAATCTGAAGTAGTGTGCTTGACATGTTCTGGGTACAAGGTAGCCAGTGTGTCCTAGACCCATGATGCCAAGGGAAAAGTGAATGCCAGAAAGTACCCCAGGCTGTAGGAAAGCCACAGGAGAGCTTTGAGCAGAAAGGTGACATGGTCTGACCACAGGATTTTAGCTTACTGGGTAATGGTAAAAGCTATTTTTAGGTGAAATGATAGTCCAGGTTGGTAGTTAAACCGGTTGGAAATTAAAGACAACAGGTTTTGCTGATGTAGGATGTGTGTTGAACAAGCATTTGCTCCCAAGCACCCCAACACTGAATTGGCTGGGAGAGGATGCGAAACCAAGAGTTTGGTTTTGGACACGTTAAATTGGTGAGATTACTATTTTTTTTAAGAGGACAGGTTGGTTTTTCTTTTTGTGTAGAACTGGGGTGTAGGCCAAAGGTGTGGGGGATGAGAGGCTTCACCAGAGACAGTGGGGAGCAACAGGTGGATTTACTGAAATACGCTGCTAAGGGGAACAGTGGGTGAGAGAAGAGGTCTGCTACGTCATATGTGAGTTAGCTCCCTGGCCAAGGATTGAACTTGGGCCTTTGGTAATAGCGCCAAGATGACCCCCTAGGCCACCAGGGAGGCCCCCAAAAGGACAGGTTTATTAGGAAAAGGATAAAGAAAAAGAGGCACCTACATAGATAAAGGCAGGCAGTCTAGGAATTAGAGCTGAGATTTCTGTTCTTGATGCAAATGAATTGGCTACGTGTTTTTGATTGTTGGAGAAAGTGGAAAAGACAGCTGGAGAAATTCTAGGAAGCAATACATGAGGTGAAACATCGCATAGGGTGCTTGCCCCTCCCACAGATTGGTCATCATGAGTCAAAAGTGAGTAAGAGGGGAGTGGCCTCACGTTTAAGTGGATCAAGTGTTTTCGGAAGGAAACAGGCTTACTGTTGTAGGTTAGTCAGGATGAGGACTTAAGGAAAAGACTAAAAATGGTAAACGACAACTGAGGAGTAGGGAAGAGAGTCTCATTAAAGTGGGCACAGGTCTGCAAGTTCACAGGCAGTAAGTTGCCCATGAAATAAGATACAAGCACGTTTTTATTACATGGGCATCTGCTTCACTGGTGCACGAGTGACTCATGTTTGAATCATTAGATATTTTTAAGACATTTTTCTTAAAACCCAGTTAAATCACTAATGTCGCATTGATGCAAATCCCATCATCTGAACGGTAGGGTTAATCAGCAGTTGTAAACTAAACTGGTAATTGACAACTGGTGAAATCACTGGAAGAGCAGCAAAAACAACCAACTTTGAAAAACCCAGATAACAAAGCATCTTAAAATTCTGAGCATCAGTGCCTGATCATGGAGCTGAGCCTCCCTGGCAGGCTGCCAGAATACTCAGTAAAATGGAACTAAAACCAGGAGGACTTGAATTAATAATAGATGCCACATCTTCACATTAATAGGTTGCTACACAACTCTTAATTCTATGGTAAAAGGACAACTAAGAGCCCCCTGGAGGGCAATAAACATTCTGCAAGATAGCTCCAGCTTTGTGGTGACTGACATGTTTCCAGAGATGGCCCATAAGAGCTGAGGGCCTGACTTGGTTTTGCGTGGATTTATAATCCTCTACAGACCATACTTGAAATCACTGGGTTGATAAGATTTTCTTTTTGATGTTGCATAAAAGTGTCAACTGTTCTGAATACTTAGTTCCTTTGGTGACATTTAGGGTTTCATTCTGGAGCCCTGGACTAAAGCATTTAACATACAGCTGCAGAAAAGGTGCTGTACATATGCCATTGAATTCAGGTTAGCTGCTATGACAGTATTATCAAGAAGCTAGATTCTTGGAGTTTGCAGTTAAGTCACAATACTGAGTTTTCCGCTTATCCCACTGGGTTTCTCCAAGCCCACCCCTTAGTGCAGCAATGGGACATCTGACCACCAAATCTGCCTGCAGTCCATAGGAGATTGCTCACTATTGTAGGCACATCTAACTACTGGAACATCCCAGTTTATTTTTTGAAAGCCTGTAGATGAGGGTTTGTGCTTTTTAAATAGTTTTTTTTTTAAGATTTATTTTTTATTTATTTATACAAGCACTGGGTACAGTGAGAAGTGCAGGAGGGTGAGAGAATTCACCAGAATCAGAGCGGGGAACAGAACAGGCAGACTGACGAAGAAATACACTGCTGAGGGGAGCAGTGAGCGGCAGGAGAGGTCTGCGGGCCATGTGGGACACTTGCCTGGCGGCCAGGGATTGAACCAGCAATGCAGAGGCTGCGGGTAGCTTCGCAACCCAGCGCTCAACCGCCGCGCCACCAGGGAGGCCCTAAATAGGTTTCAAATAACAGTCTGGAGATTGTCTTGACGATTCCTCCATATACTGGACCATGAGAACCTTTAGGTATGATTATAGCAGTCCATACAATTCAGTAAGAAAAGTCCATTCTGAGCCTACAGGAAGATTTTTTCCAAACTAATTACTTAAAATCACATCTTTCCTCAGTTGCTGGCTCCACCCCCGCCCCCCTAGACAGACAGTTACCATCTCCATTTGTTTATATGTAATAGTGCCCTTTTCTGACCTCAGGGTAGGCAGGGGGGAGCATGGAGGACAGAGAAGACTTGCATGTATGAGCCACATTTTACAGATGGAAAATTATTCAGACATCAGGTGGCTCTGAGAGAGGACATAGGATTGGCGGGCCCGGCGTCTGGGGCACAATACTTTTAATACAGTACTATAGAGCTATTGATCTTCAGTTTCTGACATTAGACACCAGGAGTCTAGTTATGTATCTATTGGTGAGTCTACTTCATGGGTAAAGACAGTTAAGTCCTAGTTTGTTAAATGCAGCCTGCATGTGGCCTCATCTAGAGCACAGGGCTATAATGATTTTTCCAGCCAGTACATAATCATTTCCTAAGCAGCTGGTAGGAATTTGGCAGAGAAAGTTGATATTTTATGGACATCTATTCAAAACAGCTACACTGTACATGTGATTTCCTAGCACATTAGTTTGGAAGTCTTCAAGAGCTGCCAATTTGTCATATAGATCAAATGCCCAAACATATTCAACCTGGGGGAGGCGGAGGGGAAACTGGCAAGTGAAAGGAGGGGAATCGCTACACATAAAATTTTTTTTTTAAGATTTATCTATTTATTCATACAAGAACTGGGATACAGGCCAGATGTGCGGGAGCGGGGGGAGGGGGGAGAGGATTCACCAGAGAGAGTGGGGAACAGAACAGGCAGACTGAAATACACTGCTGAGGGGAGCAGCGGGCAAGATAGGAGAGGTCTGCTGTGCCATGTGGGTAGCTCCCTGGCTGGCCGGGGATCGAACTTGTGCTGCAGAGGCTGTGGCAAGCTTCATAGTGCTGTGCTTAACCCCTCGCCCCACCAGGGAGGCCCTGAGAAGTAGATGTCTGTTGTCTACCTCACTGACATAGGATGTATATCAACAGATAGCAAGTATAACACTGAGAGATAAGTAAACTTGGTGTGATAAGCGCTGTTTGTCTCCACCACTTTCCTAAGCCTCTACCACTGTTAACGAGGGGACTGCAAATTGTTGAGTTTCATCACACGGAACATGAGCTAGGTGTCAGTACCCTTGGTGGTGGCCATAATGTCAGTAGGACAGTAAATACCAACTGCTGGCTTCTATTAAAAGCAAAAGTGAGTAAGCTTTTGAAAATTGGTTAAATAATGTGCAACCTGTTCTCTCACAGACAAAGGAGGAGGAGGACTGGGTGTGAGTGAGAACAGCAGAGATTTTAGCATCCCATGGAAACTTGTTTTTCTAAGGCAGTTACTAAACCCTATGGTTCATAAGATGTGGGTCTGTGAAACCGCCAACTGCTGCTTAGCTACTTCCACTATCTAGTGAGCACTTTGCTGAATTTGTTCTTCTAATCCCTTAGGCTGCCTGTATCTGATATCACTTTCTGTCCCCCACCCTGCATCACCTACACATATTCACATGGTCTTACTCTATCAACATGAAACTCACCATTCCCCTCAGTTCCTGTTTTGCTGTGTATGCAGGGCTAAGCCTCATGGGCGTGCAACCTGAAGCTGCCCCTCACTCAGGCTGCATGCTTAGTTTAATGCTCTGCTTTCACTGT